TCGTGGGTTCGAGCCCCGCGTTGGGCTCTGTGCTGACTGCCAGCTCGGAGCCTGGAGCCTGTTTCAGTCTGTGACTCCCTCTCTCTCTGACCCTCCCCTGCTCACGCTGTCTCTCTCTCTCTCTCCTAGAAATAAATTTAAAAAAAAATGTGAGGAACTATAGAAGGCTAAATACAGAGTTAGGACAAAGATGTGTGAAGAGTGGTCTCTGCCTTCAAGGAGCTAGATATGAGGGTGAAGAGAAAATTATACTAGTTTCTTTTTTCTTTTTTTTAGTATAGTTTATTGTCAAGTTGGTTTCCATATAACACCGAGTGCTCATCCCAACAAGTGCCCCCTTCCATGTCCATCACCCACTTTCCCATCTCCCCCACCCCCATCAACCCTGTTTGTTATCAGTATTTAAGAGTGTCTTATGGTTTGCCTCCCTCCCTCTCCTTAACTATTTCCCCCCTTCCCCCTCCCCATGGTCCTCTGTTAAGTTTCTCCTGTTCCACATATGAGTGAAAACATTTGGTATCTGTCTTTCTCTGCCTGACTTATTTCACTTAGCATTGAGTTCCCTTGAGTTCCACCCATGTTGCTACAAATGCCCAGATTTCATCCTTTCTCATTGCCATGTAGTATTCCATTGTATAGATAAACTACATCTTGATCCATTTGACAGTTGATGGACATTTAGGCTGTTTCCATGACTTGGCTATTGTTGAGAGTGCTGCTATGAGCTTTAGGGTACTCGTGCCCCTATGCATCAGCACTCCTGTATCCCTTGGGTAAATTCCTAATAGGGCTATTGCTGGGTCATAGGGATGCTATTGCTCTAGGACTTTGATTGATCTTCTTGAGTTATATGCCTACCCTACTTCCAACCCCTAGACCAGTGTGGAAAGAGGGATTGAGCTACTAGGATTGGTCCAACGAGGGTGAGAAGCCCATCCTTTGGTAGGTCATTGTGATCAAAGGGGCAGGATCATAGAAAGAAATAGAATCTCCCGTTGACCTGCTTGGTGAAGGGGAGTTCTATTGTTAATTTTTTGAGGAAACTCCACACTGTTTGGTAAAGGAGAGAGCCTCAAAAGAGTGGGGTTACTGCCTGAGAAAAGAAGGGTGTTAGGTACAAAACTGTAAATGTTGAGTAAATTTGCTTAGCACAAAACTTAGGTTCCGTCTCTGAATAAATGGATTGATTGTTTTGGAATGGGGGTGGGGAGAAGTTTTCTGAAAATATCAGGTAGGACATGTCTCTCTCAGAAAAGGGAAGTACAGTTGAATTATAACTCGAAATGGTGAAGTTTGAATAAACTGCATAGAGACTTAGCACTTCATAATTTAAAAGTAATTTTATTTACATCAGCCTTGTGAGCTAAAAAGAATCCACTTCTAAAATTTCCCTTTTAGAGAGTACAAACTGAGTCTCAGGAAAAACAACAACAACAACAAAAAAAAACCTCTTTCTTATCCAAGATCCCACAGCCAGCAAGTAGGTAATAACTTTGGGTATAGAATCAATAGTTCTGACTTCAATTCATAGTGAAAGTACTATCTTTTAAATGTTTTTAATGTTTATTTATTTTTGAGAGAAAGAGACATAGAGTGCATGCAGGGGAGGGGCAGAGAGAGAGAGCGATGCAGAATCTGAAACAGGCTCCAGATGTGGGACTCGAACTTATGAACGTGAGATCATGACCTGAGCGGAAGTCTGACACCTAATTGACTGAGCCACCCAAATGCCCCAAAAGTACGATCTTTTAAAGGATTGTAAGATAATGCCCAGTTTTAGGAATTGTTTTTTTATATGACTTTTCCCCCAAGTTTTTATTTAAATTCCAGTTAATTAGCATACAGTGTAATATTCATTTCATGTAGAGAATTTAGTGAATCATCACTTACAACACCCAGCGCTCATCACTACAAGTGACTTTAAATTGTATTCATAAATCAGTTATTCCATTTTATTACAGTCTGGACTCTGAAGGATCCTTGTACAACCATTATGTCTGCTGCAGTTGACACAGTTTCTTCTAAAGAACAAACTGATTTTTGTTTTCCCTTAGAAATGTTATGGCATCTTTTCACAATTAGGTACTCCGTGTAAGATAATATATTTCCTCAGAGCATAGAATCAGTGGCTTAAAGTGATTCCTGACCCACTGAAGAACGATATGGCCATTTGCCTGATGTAGTACTTCTCTGCTCTGACCAGAAAGGAAAAGGTATATAAAAATAGGAGGTTTCAAATATTAAGTTTATTTGTATCCTTAACAATTCCTTGGCATTCTTGTTTGTTTCAGATGAGAAGAAGCAGATGGTTGCCAACGTGGAGAAACAGCTCGAAGAAGCGAAAGAACTGGTATGTGCAGACTTGGTAATATGTTTTCACATCAAACCAGAGCCATTTATGCTGACGCCTTCCTCTAGCCTGCTTTGTACATTATGGAAAAGTGACAGGGGCGCCTGGGTGGCTTAGTCGGTTAAGCGTCCGACTTTCACTTAGGTCATGATCTCGCTGTTCGTGGGTTCGAGCCCCGCGTCGGGCTCTGTGCTGACTGCCAGCTCAGAGCCTGGAGCCTGTTTCAGAGTCTGTCACTCCCTCCTTCTCTGACCCTCCCCTGCTCACGCTGTTTCTCTCTCTACTAGAAATAAATAAAACATTAAAAAAAAAAAAGAAAAGTGACACATTTCTGATTAGCATTTTATAAATCGGAACTCATCAGTTTTTACATTGAAGAGAATTTAATAGTCTCTTGGGATTTTATTCTTCTTAATAAAGGTGATTCATTAAGTGACTACCTTTGATTTTCCTTCATAATATGTTTCCTAATAGGTATAAATAGCTAATGCCTGTTAAAGGAATACTCAGTACCAGGCACTGGGTTAAGCACATTACTTGCTCTGTCATATTTAAGGTTCACACAGGTGCTGTGAGACAAAGGCTGTCTGTCAAAAAATGTTAAGGACCTAAGGTATTCCCCTCTTGCTTTGTGACAGCTAAGCTTGCGATAGTTTCAGGGATGCTGGTGGAAGACATGAGATTCCTAGGTCAGAGACAATAAAATTTTATTATAGCAAAAGGTGCCACCCGAGTTTCAGCCCACTTGCCTCTGTTCCCTGAACCCCAGTACTCATGGGGGCGACGCAGGTTATCCTGGAAAAATGCCTACACACAGCAGAATACCTTCCAGGAAAGGAGCCTGGGCAATGCCCTGCTTTGTAGCAGCCTGTGAGCACGCCTGCTGTTTGTCCCGGAGGGACCCATTATTTCCTCCCCCAGGGCTGCTCCTTGTGAATATAACCCTAAGAAATGGCTTGAAAGGAGCGGCCAGGGCCTTGTATTCCTGATGTTCCCAGCAAGACATGTGGGAACATGAGAGACCCACAGAGGAGTGATTCTTAGTGCCCTGATTGCACCCATTCTGTAGGTGGGGAAACTAAGGCCTCGAAAGGTTATGTAACTTTGGGGTCCCACACTCACAAGTGGTGGGGTAAGAGCTTGTATTTAAATAGGCTAAACATGGAGCCGTGGCTCATCTGCTGCTTTTTGTTTGTTTATGCTTATTTATTTTTGAGACAGAGAAAGACAGAGCATAAGCAGGGGAGGGGCAGAGAGAGAGGGAGACACAGAATCTGAAGCAGGCTTTAGGCTCTGAGCCATCAGTACAGAGCCCTATGTGGGCTTGAACTCACAGGCCGTGAGATCATGCCCTGAGCCCAAGTCAGACGCTTAATTGACTGAGCCACCCAGCTGCCCCTCATCTACTGCTTTTTATATAAATACATTTGCAAATCAAGGAACAAAAAGTTTTAAGAGGTATTGTTTCCCAGTTTGGGGTTTGAAAGCCAAGTATTACAAGTGTGACTCTACTTGTTGCCACAGTGTCGTCCTAAATGAGTGTGTTCCTTCCCTAAATAATGCTGTCGTCCTAAATGAGTGTGTTCCTTCCCTAAATAATGCAGGGCACTGCGTGGTGGTCCTTCAGTACCCGCTTACGGACAGACTTAGAACAGTTTCCCCAAGTGTGTTTCTGGTGACTGCCGTTACCAGGTCAAGTAAGTTTGGGAAACTAGCGGCTTAAATAGAATTGGAAGGTGGCTTTTTTTTTTGGTTGTTGTTTTGCCACAGAATCTCCTTGGACCCTTAAGTAGGCTAAGAGGCTTTATGAATCTCTAAGAAGGGACCACAGGGCCCAGCTCAAGCACGGAGCGTTTCCAAGCCAATTTAACTGAGTTACTTTTCTTGACAGGGCCACACACAGGGGGCTGCTGTCTTAGAGGGTCTGAAGAAGTAGGTGGGCGTCATTCCCCACTGCACGGCCGACCTTTGCTCTGTGACTTTGGCTGGTGACGCAGCGAGCTGCACAGCCGCTACTTTGTCCTCTCTGCCACTGGCCCTTTCCTAGGCGTCAAAATGTAGGATGCTCTGCGGACCCTGCGAGGTCAACTTCTCATCTCTGCTGCACTGTCACTGCCTCTACAGTGGCAGCTTTGCGTCCAACTCCAGCTTCGAGTGTCTGCCTCTCTTTTGAAAGTTTCCCCCTTTTTACAAATGCTTTTCTCCGTACTTTCTTTTCTTTTTATAATCAGCTATTTCTCTCATGCTTCCCGGCCTTCATGTAACACGACTGACCTTCTACATAGCATAGCTACCAGTTGGGACTGTCCTTCCTTCCGGCTGAGAAGCTCATCACGAATCGCACTGTACAGTTGCTCACTTGTTTGGATCCTGAGTTGACCGCTTATACTGTTGTTGAGTTCTTAGGAGCCGTTCTTGTGCATCAAAAGCCTGTGTTTTGATTTGTTGACTTTTTGGAGCCGTCGATTTACTTAATGATGTTAGAAAGCTGGATTCCTAATAGCCAAGATTTTTCTGTACCACGAAGTATAAAATATAATTATACCCTCATGGACCTTATGACTAACATAAAGAGTTCAGTCTAAGATATGTGTTTCTATTTGTTTAAAATGATCAGACAGCAAATTTACTTAACTCTGATACATCCTTGTTAAGGGTATTACATTCTCTCCTTTGGATGAGGACCCCAGCAGAAACACTTTTTCCCCACTATCTCCCACTTTGTGCTGGCCACGGGGCATGTTCTGACAACATGAAGTAAGCTTGTGTAAGCCTCATTTCTGCTTTCATTTGAAGTGCTTGTTGTGTGTTTTCTTTTTTCTTTCTTACCTACTTTTAATTTCATTGCCAGTGTCTTTATAAAATGCCTTAAACAAAAGTGTAGTCAACTCAGAATTTCACTCACATGTACTTTGGCAGTCATTTGGATGACGCCGCTCACCTTGTCAGCACTGAGGACTTACTGATTTCAGGGAAGTGAAATAATTGACTTGCTGAGTAACTATTTGATTTATTGGTGCTTCACATTTATGTAGAGACATGGTAATAATTTAAATGGTCACGACTTAAGTCAAGGCTAATTAAAACTCTGTCTCTCTCTCTCTCTCTCTCTCTCTCACACACACACACACACACACACACACACACACTTTAAATAAAAATTAAGGCCTGTGAGGGTGCCTGGGTGCCTCAGTTGGTTGAGCGTCCGACTTCGGCTCAGGTCATGATCTCACAGTTTGTGGGTTCGAGCCCCGCGTCGGGCTCTGTGCTGACAGCTAAGAGCTTGGAGCCTGCTTCTGACTCTGTGTCTCCCTCGCTCTCTGCCCTTCCCCCACTCATGCTGTGTTTCTCTCTGTTTCAATAATAAATAAACACTAAAAAATTAAAAAAAAAATTAAGGCTTGTGAATTGAAACATGGTTTTTCTCGTTCTCTGAGTGCTCCTATCGTTATTCAGTCTCTAATGCTGCACAAGGAAGAGTTATGTAAGTGATAAACTTTTAGTAGTTATGGAAATAACTCATTAGAATACTTTAAAAGGTGAAATATATAGTGGCATTTTTGGATGTGAGTTTATTAGACATGGCCTGAGCCAACTTGCTGTCATTGTTGGGTTTTGTTTTTTTAACGCCAAGTATAAATAAGCTGCCTCTGATGCCTGTGTCATACCTGCTCTATTTCTTTGTCGTCGTCAGTAATCATCTCTCCTATTCTTAACATTAATCTAGCGATTACCAAGCAAGAGACACTATTGTAAGCACATTATGGGAATTATGCCTTATAATCTTTACAGCTGTCCTACAGAAGACATACTATTTTTGGAAATGAGAAAAGTAAGGCCCAGATAACTTAATAAACCGGTTCAAATTTGCATGACTAGTAAGTAATGGACCCTATGATGTGGACACAGGCGTCTGAATCGAAAGCCTGTGTTCTTAATCATCATCCTGTTTCTGTATTGCCTCTCTTTAAATGTGCATGTGTTGTATCCAAAGTGTTATTAATGACAGATTATTAACCAGTATGCTGCTGTGATTTCAGTGAGCTTTGTATAATTTAGCGGATGGCTGTATCCATTTAACTCTATATCAACATGGTTATAAGGTAGGAGTCAAGCTGGAGGCTGAGATCACATATCAGTTGGCATGTGATTTTCCTAATCAGAAGAGAGTTTCCAGAATTTTCACCAAATGATTTAGTCTGGGCTGATATTTTATAGAAAGGGTAGAAATCATGGTTTGTTTTAGGTTCCCATGGTCCTGGTGGTTTGGGGTCAGAAGACCAAACCAGGTTGGGTTGGACTGAATGATAGGACACACCGAAGGTATTAAAATTGTTATTATTGAAGATGTTTGGATTAATGCATAAGTTTTAAAAAAACATTATTGGCAAAGTGAGTGCTTTGTCACTCTGTGTGTCACTAGCAAGCACTCAGGAAGTATTTGTTGACCGAAACAAAAGTTAAGCACAAAAGCAGTCCCACTGTTACTTGACTGTGGGCAGCCAGCTCCCGTGGCCTGGCTCCTCAGGAGGAAAATGAGGAGTTGGGACTGAATCTTTTCAGCTGTAAGTGTCTGGCCAAATAAAGTATAAGCACAGGGTTTAAGTCCTGTTTTCTTCTCCCCCTTCCAGCTGGAACAGATGGATCTGGAAGTCCGGGAGATCCCCCCCCAGAGTCGAGGGATGTACAGCAACAGGATGCGCAGCTACAAGCAAGAAATGGGCAAACTTGAAACAGATTTTGTGAGTCAGATTCCACCCTCTGTCATATTTACTAATCTTTAAACTGAATTTTCACCTGTGGTTTTTATTGTTTCCTCCACGTGCTTCAGTGAGCGTGACGCGCACCGTCTCCAGGGACCTGTGCTGGAGACCAGCACAGCTTTCACTGTTGGCAAATTAGGGGTCTATAAAAGCTTAAAGAGCTAGCTAATGATGGGATATGAGGAGTGTCGGATTCACGACTCGCACGTCAATCCAAAGCATGTCGTCTTCTGAGTTTAGACAGTATTTATTGCCACTTAGCATTTGTTAGAATTTTGAAGCCCAATTTTGGGCCTTTTCATAGTCTGCAGCCTTTAAGATGCAGTGTTCACAGATGGACTTTCTCTTCCTATGTATCTGGCTTTCGACTCTGCCCACTTGATAGCAAATTTAAGAATGTAAATTTAAACATACAATGTTGAAATTGCTAGTAATGAGAAAGTCAGAGGAGTATAAAAGATACAGCTGAGCAACTCCACTTCGGGAGGTGAAGAATAATATTTCATTGTATATATGTATGTATATGTATATATATATATGTATACACGTATATATGTATATATATATGTATACACGTATATATGTGTATATATATGTATACACATACGTATGTGTATATATACACACACACACACATATACCACATCTTCTTTATCCATTCATCCATCGATGGACATTTGGGCTCTTTCCATACTTAGGCTATTGTAAATAGAACTGCAAAAAACATTGGGGTGCATGTGCACAAAAGAAACAACATACCTATATCCATTAAATAAATACCTAGTAGTGCAATTGCTGGGTCATAGGGTGCAATTGCCTTTTAAATTGTGTTTCTCTTAATTACAAAAATAAAAAAGAATCCATGATGGGCCTAAATCGAGAAAAGGAATGTAGCTGCCTAGCTGCCGTGCTCTATGCTAGATAAAACTTTCTCTGACTCTTTTGGGAAAGGTAGGCTCTCCCTAGCAAGGATAGGAGATATAGCGAGAAAATGAAATTGATTTAACAATTTGACCACTCAAATTTATACACAGACAATTCTAATTAAAGTTAATGTTTCAATACAAATGATGAAAGTTAAGTAAAATATCTATGAGGATTGTTGTGGTTTGGTAACGTCATCCTTATGAAACTCCTTTACAAAGATTTTTCTCTTGGTTTCTAAAGTAACGGACTATATTAGTTGGTGACGGCTGCCGTGATAAGTGCCACAGACTGGATGGTTTAAACAATAGAACTGTACTTTCTCACGGTTCTGGAAGCTTGAAGTCCAAGGTCAAGACGTCGGCACATGTGGTTTCTCCCTCTGCCTCTCTCCTCTCCTTGGCTTGTAAATGGCCGTCTTCTCCCTGGGTCTTCACACGGTCTTCCCTTTGTGTCTGTGTTCTGATTCCTTCTTATAAGGAACCAGTCACATTGGATTAGAGCCCACCCTAATGACCTCACTTTAACTCAATTAAGTCTTCTCCGAGTGTAGTCACTTTCTGAGGTACTAAGGGTTAGGACCTCAACATATGGAGGTAGACACAACTCAGCCCATAACATGGAATTTAGTTTTAATCTTTTCTTCTTAAAATTATTTTCAGAAATTAAGTTGCTTCCATTGCTCATAAGTCAGCTAGTTCAATCTTCAGTGTTTTTTGTCTCCTGAAGAATATAATCCGGGGTAGAGTCCTTTAGGTATTTGGATATTATATACGTGGGTAAGTATTTTTCAGGCATATTTTCTGTTATAAAGAGAAACAGATCCGGTAACTGTGAACTAAACATATATTCTCCTGGCCATCATCAAAAATGCATGTGTTTATGTGTATAATTGTTCGCACCACTTTCTTCTCCTATGTTAGGAAGCATCCTTCACCACGACCTCCACCCCCTTCCATTGTATAGTGACTTAGAGTTTATAAAATGCTCTAACGGGCACTACGTCATTTCACTGTGTGAAGAGTAGACAGAGGAGAGGTAGGTGACTATCCCCATTTTACACATGATAGAACCAGGAGGTTCAGATTGTTTCTGGATTCCATTCGGCACATCTTTCTCAAGCCCTGCTGTGTATAGACACTGTCCTAGGTGCTTGGAAAAAGCTGCGATTAAGTTCAAGTTCTTGCTCTCATGGGATGTGAGTACTAGTAGGGAAGACAAGAAACAAACAAACAAATACATATATATCATAATTCCAGGTAGTGGTGCATACTGACCTTGACAATGAAGTGAGTAAAGCGGTGAAAGTGGCTAGCAAAGTGGTCGTGGCTTTTTTGCTGGGGTGTTCTGAGGCCTGACTGAAAGAGGAAGAGGCGCATTTGTTTTGTTTACAGTGGGAGACAGAAGAAAGACCTACAAGGGCACTGTAGGCATGATAAAGACCTTGGCTTTTACTCTGGATTGATGAGAAGCCCTTGGGGGCCATGCAGAAGTGAGTGCCCCTTTGACTCCTGCTTTCCGGCTCTCTCACTTTCCGTCACCACACGTCACAGGAGGGATTCGAATCGAGTGTGGAAGATACTTACATAATTCCCTTTTGATCCTTATTTTCTTTTTATATTTAATGCTTTTATTTTTAAAGGAATGAAGAATATCTTCTTAAAGATATTTCTCATGGTAACGTACCTAGAAATCTTGAACCCGAAGAAAAAAAGAGCACAGCTGCTCTTATTCTGAATGAAGCAGATCTGTTCTTCTCCTCGTGATATTGAGACTTTGGGGGGTCATTTGTACCAATGAAGAACGGGAGAAGACAGCCCAATACTTTTTTCTCTGACCCTCATTATCTACTTGTTATCTTTTCTTGGCCCCTCCCCTTCTTCCCATGCCTGTTCCTGGGATCCTTTAGGCTTCTTCTCCACTTACTGCACTGTCTGTCTCTGTGTGGCTTTGTCCACTCGCATGGCTTCCACAATGGCACTCTACCCACCTGCGTCTCTAACCAGAGCTCTATAGCCCTAGATTCCGAGGTTTTTTAAAAAAAAATTTTAATGTTTATTTATTTTTGAGAGAGACAGAGACGAAGCACAAGCAGGGGTGGGGCAGAGACAGAGAGGGAGACACAGAATCTAAAGCAGACTCCAGGTTCTGGGCTGTCACCACAGAGCCCAACACGGGGCTCGAACTCACAAACCGTGAGATCATCAACCAAGGCAAAATCGGACGCTTAACTGACTGAGCCACTCAGGCGCCCCTGGATTCACAGTTCTCACGACTTACTTTACCCCAGCGTCCCTTTCACACAAACACTTAAACTTGACAAGCTCTAGTCACTTCAGGGTTATCTTTAATTTCTTCCTGTCTGTCACTTTGTGCTTCCAGTTGATCACTGAGAACTAGCAATCCTACCACTGAAATATCTCTCAGTTTCATCTGCACTGCTGGAAGCTTTCGGGTTTCTCCATCTCGATGTTTGTAGTAGCCTTTCCTCCTTCTATTCTTGTCTAGCTCTAAACCACCCTGTGCACCAGTCTGGAATGATCTTTCTAACACACTGATCTGAATATGTCATATTGTTCCACAAAATCCCATGGAGTACTCATTGCCTGATGAATAAAATCCAGGTCAGCTTGTGGACTTTCTGTTCTGTTCCATTGCTTCTTCATGTGTTTAGGAATTTTATTGTCATATGCTTGGTATTGTGGATCCTACATTGTTAAAAGCCTAGGTTTTGTTGGTTTCCTTTAGATTAGTGCTTCCCAACCTTTTATTCATTATTGCCCCCCTAAGGAATCTTTTTAGACTTTTTTTCCTAATTGTCCCTTCTTCCTTCTACCCCATGAAATTTTGATACAGATATACTCTATATCTGTACATCTGTCCATATACTATGGCCCTTTGAAGGGCCCCATGTCTTTGAAATGTATTAAATTGTTCATTCTCCCAAGAACTAATGTTTGCCTCCAGGGGCATGATATAACCTCTGCTGACAGTGCATGTTTTAATGATCTTTCTTTCTTTCTTTCTTTCTTTCTTTCTTTCTTTCTTTCTTTCTTTCTTTCTTTCTTTCTTCCTTCCTTCCTTCCTTCCTTCCTTCCTTCCTTCCTTCCTTCCTTCCTTCCTTCCTTCCTTTTCTTTCTCCCCTTCTGCCCCCACCCCCCCCACTCTGTGCCCAGCATGGATGGGACTTGAACTCACAACTCCAAGATTAGTGGTCTCATGCCAGCCAGGCACCCCTTAGAGAATGTTGAGCTTTATATGGGCAAGCAGGTAACTTACCAACAGATCAGATTGATCCTCTCAAGGCTTATTGTTAAGGTTTTTTAGGACATGTCTAGAGTAGACCTACTTTTGAGGTTTGACCTTTCTTGGCTTCCTTTTAGTGATTGGAGCATTCAATGAATGCTCTACCTTATGATTGGTCAGAATTCTGTCTGCCTGCTTTGGGTGACCTCCAGAATCCCGATTCCATCCATAGCCCCCCAATACCTGTTTTCTGCAAGACCTCATGGGACCTTGCCCTCTGTGTGTGCAAGTTCATCTTCAACCACAGACTGAAGGAGAGCCCTTTATAGATTTCTGGAGCCCTTTCTCTGTGTAGCTCCCTCCTCTCTGTTACCCTGCTAAATCCTCTCCATCTCCATCCCAAACTCCAATGTCTGCCTCTTAAGCTCAGTGACATGCTGTGCTCCATTTTGGCTCCACCCCCACGTGCTGTAGTCTGGAAAGTGCCTACAGGCTGAGAGTGATGACAGTGTGGGACTCATTTCAAATGTTTCTCTTCTCCAGAGGATTGCCATACTGCCTGTTGTCCAGTTTTTGAAAACAATTACTTCATATGTTTCACTCATTTTTATAACTGTTTAGAGTGGGAGGATTAGTCTTGTGCCAGTTCCTCAGTCATGACTGCCATCGAAGTTCAGTGTACTTTTAATGTTTATTGTCCTCAGCAGATAACTGGGTACATCTGAGAATTAAACAAAAAAAAAAAATAGTGTACCATTTATAGTGACCCATATCATAAATTTTAGTTTATAGCTGAATAAGTAACTACT